GCTGAGAGGTTGCCTGTGGAGTGGCCACAGCCCTGAGTTCCTTGGCAGTTCCGCTCACTGTGACTTTCTTGGCAATGCTTCCAAGGTTTATCATATGACTGGTAGCGAGCAAGCAGAAAGCCTGCAAGTGTTTATGTTCAAATGGAAATATGTATACGTGTCCATACGTGTGTGTTCAGGGATTATGTCATGGCTAAATTTTGACTTCAAAATTATCAGCTTGAAAGCAGCCATCACCAAAGATTCTACAAACCCAGTGCCTCCCCAATGTCGTGGGGGCTAGGTGGGTACCTTGCCAAACCAGCATGCAGAGGTTGAGCCACCACAGCCTCGAACGTATCCAGCACAAAATTTGTACATGTCAAAAACTGGAGGCAAGACATTGGTGATTTCACCTGAAGGCTGACCAAAAAGGATGTCAAGTACTTCTTGGTGTCTTCTTTGAGGCTTTTCAACCCACACACTTTGATTCTTTTGATCAGCATGTGGGTAGCATCAACTGTGTTGATGCCATTCTGCATCTGCTGCCATTCGCTTTGGGACAGGTAGTTCCAAGGCGTGGTCATGCTTTGATTGAAGAGGCTGCCCTTGATTCGAGAAATGCTTGCAACTCTGCCTTCGTGTCAGCAGTCAAGATGCCATTTTGAACAGCATCAGGACGCTTCAAGAAGTTAGAAGCAGCGAGCATTTGGACACCATTCACTTTGGACTGCAATGCATTCGTGGCACCAGCTGTGAACCAGCGTTCCTTTGGTAAATCGCTTCCATATCACTAATCTCCTTGACTAAGTCCTCAACGTCCCAAGTAGCCATGGTGATCAAAGGATCTAGGCTAAGGTGAGCCCACAATTCCTATGGGCCCACTGCAGCAGAAGCAGAAGAGAATTGATTCTGCTAACCTTCAAAGTTAGAATTATGACAGCTCCTTTGGGCATGGGATAAAGGAGTTTAAGCCTTTACATGAAAGCCCCTTTGGGCAGAAACAATTTAGTTCACAAAATAAAATGAAAGCCCTATCAGCAAAACCTGTAGCAAGAGTCGGTGGGAATGGGTTCTGGGACCCTTTAAGGTTAGAAGCATATAAACTTCAGTGGGCTCTCATACCCAACCCTGGACCTTTACATGAAAGCCCCTTGGGCATAAACCACAATAGTTTCAAAATAGCAGGAAAGGCCACTGGGCCAGAAGAAAACAAGTACACCACATGGTGTTTTTTTAAAATATTTTTTCTCCCCCCACAGTATTTTGATTCCACCCAAGTATGTTTTCATCCAGGCTTTCCATGCACTATGGGCATACAGCTGCAGCTATCAGGCGCAGATAGCATCGCCAGAAGGAACAGGGACCCCAGCCAACATGTAACTGATTTTGATCAAGTTCTTCAGGCTGGCAGGCAAAAGATGTGGGCCTTCATTCTGCTTGAAGTGCTCAAGAGCATCCTGCCTGAGCAAGCGAGCAATTTGTTTACGTCTATCCTCATACTACCTGAGTTCCCGTATGCTTTAAAAACATGATGAGTTTCAACCTGGTAACCAAGAATCAAAGCCTGATTGATGAATCTCGACATACCAGAGGCTCTTCCATCCATTGGATGAGGTCCAGGTTTGAAACTGTCGAGATACCATTGGATCAGTGGCTGAACCCCGTGCCTGACCCCTATTACTGGACATCCTGACAGCTTACACCTTGACAAGAAATGCAAAGGACACATGTCTGATGCACTAATGGAACACCAAAACCTGAAGCATCAATGTGCTATACTTGTGACAGCTTCAAAAAATGAAAGCATCAATGTGCTTTTTGGCTTAAAAAATGAAAGCCCTAAAGGCTGCTTATGTAAAAACTACATTATTTTTTTGATAGTTGTGCCAAATAGTAAACCAAATTAATATCAAAATCTGAACAGTAAAAAATATACTATTGTAGGTTCAAGTTAAGGTTCTGAATTGAAATGCCAACTGTTTGTTTTCCAATTTAGATTTCTGAATTGACATGGAGATTGTTTGATTTTCAATTTGGAATTCTGAATTGAAATGGTGATCGTTTGATTTTCAAGGTAGATTTCTGATTGAAATGGTGAATGTTTGATTTTCTATTAGATTTCTGAATTTAAATGGCGACTGTTTGATTTTCAATTTAAATTTCTGAATTGAAATGGTGACTGTTGGATTTTCAATTTCGATTTCCGAATTGAAAATTGCGACTGCTTTATTTTCAATTTAGAAACAGAATTGAAATTCTTACTGTTTGATAGTTTATAAGGTTTTTTTTAACCACCCAGGCTTTGCTGGAGTCAGTAAGATCTTAGGCGAGTACAAGTGTTCAAGCCATACTCACCCTCCAAGTTCTTTTGCCATCCACACTTTTTGACGTAGCCCACCAAAGCTGCCACATACGCCTTCACCCGTAAAACCTCTTCCCATCGTTATAGTAGGCATCTCATCCTGTGCGCTTCTCCAAGCTTCCAAGCAACTACTAGCCCAGAAACTTTCCTGAACCAACCTCCACTAGAAGTTCCTCGAGGAGGCACGAACTCTGGTACCTGAGAATGAACAATACTAAATGCATAGATCAAGAAACTTGAATCCCACACAGAAAGCAAAACCATAGAAACATATGATGCTTGAGAAAATGCATGAATTTCCTATCAGATACATCTTGAGTAGAGGACGGCCCAGTCGAAGCTTGAGAGCCTTTTTGTTTGGTGCAATAAAGAAGCTTCTTCACCTGGTCAGGAGTACAGGTCAACCTCCCCCATTGCTTCTGGAACTGGACCAGGTAGTTCTTTGGGGATGCATGCTGCTGAAGCCTCAGAGGGGGTACTTCAGGAGTGGCAGGTGCCAACAAACCAACATCAGGGTGAACTGGCAAAACCGTAGTTGCACTGGCTGGTGAAGACGCGCAGATACCTGGACTTGGGCCAGGTGCCATTGCCATAGAAGCTTCAAGTAGTGGTGCACCTGGGTGTTTGGCTTTAGAACCTTCCACTTCTCGCAGAAAACCAGATCCACTACTGGGCTCACCTGGTGGCTGTTCTGGCAGGTCAGGCATCAGGCCATCCATCTGCAGCCTGTACGCAAAGTTCACCAAGAGGTCCAAGGTCTGCTTTTGCAACTCTTCTTCATTCAAAGGATCCTGAGAGGGGACGACAGCGGGGCCAAAAACAATGAAGTGATGAGTATGACAAAATGAAGGGGTTGGCCGCCATCACCCTCCCTCTTCATCACTACAGGTGGAAGTGGTGGAACATGTTTGCATTGCTTTGTTGCTTGTGTTACATGCCCATGAGGTTCCTTTAAGGTTTTTTCTATAAAACTATGCTTATTACTGATATTGCAACCAGTTGAACAACTACAAACTCCTGACAACCAAAACATTCCCATGCATGAGCGCACAAGAGTCCCAAACTTGCATGCGCATTCCAAAACTTTGTAGCTTGCAGGGATGGAAAGCAACACAATTGACACTGGAGGACTCTTCTGCTCAGAGTTCAAATTGGCGTGCGTTCGCGCGTGCTGGTGACAGCATCTCTTGGAGCAGAAAACGGACGCTGCGCAGGTTGAGGGGCAAGGGAAAAAATTGCGACTTTCTGTTGAACTTGTACACACATGTAGACATATTTACTTGTGTATATAGTATATATGCATATAGAATGACGTTTGATTACGTTTGTGCGAGGAGGAACGAAATAGACCCCAAAGGTCCCTGCCACATACATATATATATATTCCCTATAGATATTTTGATATTTATAGACTCCCTTTCCGTAATGGATTTCCCAAAACGGCGGACAACAAGCCAACCAAATCATCGGCTGAGCAAATCCAGGGATATATCGGATATGGATGAGATGGGAGTTTTCTGCTTAGAATAAGAAACTAACCTGAAAATAGCTGTTATGTAAAACAGCCAAAAAAAAGGGATGCTTCCCCTCATCCTCACCATCATTCCAGTGACGTCACATTTTTAGGTCATGATGATTCATCCAGATGATCATCAAGCGGTGTTTAAGAGGATATGATGAGATGTCACCGACCAAAACTGGCTGGACAGGAAAAACACCTATCCTGCGAGAAGCCCTGTTCAAACTGCCTGGCAAATATGTTTCACAAAAATTTGGCAAAAGGATGCGTGCCCTACAATCACAGATCCAACATGTGGTGTTTCTTCTTTCGATTTCCAACCGGCTATGTTCACCAAGCAGTTGATTTGGGACGATGTCCACAATTTTTTCTGCCATTTTCCACCAAAGCAAGACCTGGCCTGTTTCCGACTTCATCAGACACCTCTAGAAAACAAGAAGCTTTCTACCCTGATTACACCTTGATTTCCCATTTACGTGGGTCAACAAAACTTGAGAACAACAAAACAAACACCAGGCGTTAACGTGTAAAACGAAGAACTACAAAACAACTTAGATTGCAAAAGAATGCCCATGTTTGGGATGATTCCCCATAGTTAGGGACAATCTTATTGATGGCAACTGATTTTCCGAGACGCAACACATTATGAGGGGTTAACAACCATTCAAACAAAAAAAACATGTTTTCATTCAAGCCCCCTGAAAAAAGGCAATATGAAAGGCTCTGCCCTTCTTGAAGGGCTACATACCCACTGTTTCATGGCGGAAAAACAACGAGTTTTGGATGTTGATTCCCCCAGTCGAATTTCATAGCTACCCGGCCTGGCGAACGTTTACATAACGAACTGGAAACTCACCCTGCTATTAATGGGTAAACTATTTCGACTGGGTCATGTTCAATAGCTATGTAAACGTCATAACCGGTATACCCATATTACCAAAAAGTAACTATAGGGGTTATATGGATATAACATGATATAACTATAGAAATATAGCCATTTTCAATGGATATAACTATAGAAATATACAATTTTCAATAGTTTTCTGTATGTTTTACCAGGCCGAAATCAATCACTTGACCCAGCCTCTGTTGCGATCCATCCGATCCATCCCTTCAGACCCCGTTTGAACGACCAGCCTGTGGTATCTACGATTGAGTCCAGTTTGCCCTTCACGTCCTGGGAAGTGACGACTTTCTGGTTGGTGGGGGCTACCTACCACTGTGGTTAATATACTGTTAATATATGGTTATTATATGGTTAATGATGGTTAATAATAATCTGGGTGGTGGGGGCCAACCTACCCCTCTGAAAAATGATGGAGTGAAAGTCAGTTAGGATGATGACATTCCCAATATATGGGAAAATAAAAGCCATGTTCCAAACCACCAACCAGCTTTTTGTGTAACCCAGAACCGATACACATCCTAATTTTGATCCAAATAAATCCAAGTTAATATTTAAATATGTATGTGTATGTATATATATATATACTGTCTGCAGAGAAACATGTAGACATACATATATATATATACAACTCAATCGAAGTTAATCCAATTCAAGCCAATATCCATCCATATTGATTCATAGTTCCAATGATATACATTTCAATCCCAGTGACTACTATATATATATATACATGTACATACTAATCCACATAAAATCAATTCTCGTAGAAAACATCGAAAATTGCCCCTTGCGTCCTGCTTCATGGGGATTCAACCCCCCAGTCAGGTGACCCCCGATGTTTGGTGATGCACTCTGTCTGTTACAAGGTCCTTGGAACTGGGAAAGCAATATGGTGTATCCAGACATGTGTAGGTTTATGTAAGTATGTATGTATGCATGCATGCATGGATGTATGCATGCATGCATGCATGGATGTATGTATGTATGCATGCATGCATGGATGTATGCATGCATGCATGCATGGATGTATGTATGTATGTATGCATGCATGCATGGATGTATGCATGCATGCATGGATGTATGTATGTATGTATGCATGCATGCATGGATGTATGCATGCATGCATGCATGGATGTATGTATGCATGCATGCATGGATGTATGCATGCATGCATGCATGGATGTATGTATGTATGCATGCATGCATGTATGTATGTATGCATGCATGCACTGGATGTATGCCATGCATGCAATGGATGTTTCCATGCATGCATGCATGATGTTATGCATGCTGCATGCCCTGGATGTATGTATGTATGAACGCATGCATGGATGTATGCATGCATGCATGCATGGATGGATGTATGTATGTAGGTTTATGTATGTATGTATGCATGCATGCATGCATGCAGATATGTATGTATGTAGGTTTATGTATGTATGTATGTATGCATGCATGCATGTATGCATGGATGTATGTATGTATGCATGCATGCATGGATGTATGTATGTATGTATGTAGGTTTTTGTATGTAGGTTTTTGTATGTATGCATGTATGTATGTATGCATGCATGTATGTATGTATGTATGAATTTGTGTATGATTCAAGCCCAACTATAGTTATTAGGTATTATCAACTATTATCATTGGTTACTGTCATTAGTTACTAGCATTAGCTAGTCTTTAGGAAACAATAGTTACTGATGATGTTAATAGTCTAGTATATTTTAAAACCATTATCATGGTTAACCAATGGGTTACTATGGTTAAACATGATGATAGTCTAATGATGCTTATTAACTAGTCACAATGCCCATGATGGTAATATATCAAACAATAGTCTAGTTTATAGGTACAACTATAGGATAGTATAATAGTTGCAATCATAGTAAATATACGATTCTCATTGTAATCATGGTTTATGGTTTTAGAGTTACTGATGCCAGTGAAAAAATGTAAAATCATGGTTTCTAATGATAATGTTATTTGTAGTTACTAGTTATAGTAGTTATAGTTATGATGCTTGATATTGTATTAAACTATGATATATTAAAACCATTACTAGTGATTACAGTTACCATAGCAGTTTACTGAAACCATTGTAAAGCCATAGTTACTAATGATAACTATAGTTATATAGTTACCATATGTTACCATATAGTTGCCATATAGTTACCATAGTTGCCATAGTTACCATTTATCATAGGCTATCCTCTGGCAAACAAATATAGCTATGGAAAATCACCATCTGTTACTAATGGTAACTGTATTTATATCCATGTATGATATATTACTGTACCATTCATCGTAATATTATGGATATAGTAATATATGGATATAACTAGTACAAGTACCATTGTAACATATCCTGGTTGGTGGTATACCTCGTCAGTTGGGATGATGAAATTCCATTCCCAATATATGGAAAAATAAAATTCATGTTCCAAACCACCAACCAGATGGTCATTTAATCAACAACAATGGTGATTTAACCAACAATGGTCGCTGAAAATCAATAAAAAATGGAAGTTTACCAACAACCATTGTACCATTGTAGCATATCATAGTTATTTAGTTAAGATGGTGATCATAGTAACTATAGGGGTTATATGGATATAACTATAGTAATATAGCCATTCCAAATGTAATATTACATGTTGTAACTATAGTTATACCCATATTATGGATACAGTAATATATGGATATATAACTAATATATATATATATATAATACATGTACCATTGTAACATATCATAGTTATATCCATCTTACATATATATATATATCCATCATAGTTATATCATAGTTATACCATAGTTATATCATAGTTACATGTACCATTTGTAATATATCGGCTAAACCATCCAAACCTCGCCCCCCCGGGCCCCGGCCTCCACGATGTCGCCGTATTTCTCGTGGGTCGTTTCCGTGACCTCCGAGGCCAGCGCCTCCGAGGACTCGGCCAAGTCACCTGGATTTTCGGCACGCCGAGGACTCGGAAATGGTGATTTCGTGGTGATTTTATTGGGATTTTATTGGGATTTTATAGGGGATTTTATAGGGGATTTTATAGGGATTTCATGGAATTTCAAGGGGAGTTCATGGGATTGAAAGGGGATTGAAAGGGGATTTCTTTGGATTTTACAGGGATTTTTGATGGAATTTAATGTATGTTAATACGATGTTAAGGGATTTGATAGGGGTCTTAATGGAATTTCATAGGGGATTTGAATGGGATTTCAATGGGGATTTAGTGGGATTTAGCTCAAGCATCTGAAAATCTAAGCACTTCCATGTTGATTGTTTTATGGTGACTATTTCATATTTGAAAACCATCCCCACAATGGATAATCGTCCGATATGACTGGCTAGTCGACCACACCCAGAGTTTCACATCTCAAGCACGCCGCCAAGACACAATAGCCGAGTCAAAGCCCAGCCAAACTGTGCAATATCATGAATTCTATAGGCATTTTAATATCCAGTAAATTAATATAGAATTTACTGAATTCTGAAGGCATTAACATGGAAGCTAAATCAATGGATTATATTCAGGGTCACATTGCGCAGAATATTGGGGATGATCATTAATCATCCACCATGGGAAAGCCTATAAACCAGCTAATGTATTGGGGATATACCAAAAAAAGGTCTTGGGGGGCGGCCGGGCGGCTTTCCCATGCGTTTTACGGCAAAACTGGTAGATTATTGGTGAGGTTACACCGCCCGATGGTATATTGGGGATTAGCATTACCTGCCGGCAATCAAACATGGCTAGCTGGAAATCCACCATTTAGTTCGATGATTTTCCCATTAATAAAGCCTCTATTTATAGGGGATTTTCCAGCTAGCCACCATTCATAGATGATTTCCCAATAAACCAATTTGTATAAGTCCCTATAGCCTATAATACTTAATCAGCCTGGGTTTGGTGACTGTTCAGTTGTCTGAAAATTTTCCTTCCATGTTCAGAATAGATGTTTGATTACCAGAAGGCTACCCTCTGGTAATTTAACATAGCTATTGAAAATCACCATGCTATTAATGGGAAAATCCACTATTTCTATGGTCATTTTCAATAGCTACGTTAGTCATTACCAGAAGGCTACATACTGTAGCTTTGCCCAAAAACGACGACCGTTTTTTTTTTCCCCTCCGCGGCGCCATGACAATCGATGGGGAACGTGGGACCCAGCGTTTTCAGTAAAATGTGTGATCCTTGGAGGGGTTCCATCAAAAACAAGACATTCCTATACCCAAAAAAAAGGATCTCGGTTGCCCTCTGGTAAATTAACAGTTGGACCCTGAAAATCAACTTTTAGAGGAAACCAGGGTCTACGTTAATTTACTGGAGGGTATATCCCCAGGTTTGTAGATTGTTTCAGTTCTCTCATTTCTGCAAACGTTCCACATTTGTCTGGATCAGGGTTGCTCAAAAAACAAATCCCAGCAGGCAGATTGCCCAATCGGATGAATAGATGGATACGTATATTGATAGATAGGTATTATTAGATAGGTTTTGATAGATAGAAGTATTAATAGATAGAAATACTGATAGATAGATATTGATAGATTAAAAAAATATTGATTGATAGATACATTGATAAAAACAGATATATTGGTAGATTGATATTGACAGATAGAATACGGATTGATAAATATATTGATAAACAAATATATTGATAGAAAGATGTTGATAGATATTGCTAGATTAATGTTAATAGAAAGATATCGATAGATAGATATTGGTAGTTATTGATAACCATTGATAGGTATTGAAAGATGTGAATGGTTTATAGCTAGTGTTGGGTTTTGATAGTTATTGACAGATGTGGATAACTGCTGTCGCATTACATACATATTATACAATATATTAGATCATATCTATGTATATATTATATTATATTACATCATATTATATTATATTGCATTATGTTATATTATATGATATCTTATTCAAGTATTCGATGTCATATCATATCATATGATATCATATTATATTCTATTATATATATAATCATATGTATATGTATATATATACATATCCATGTGTATCCCCATTATATCTCCGTATATCTGTGGTTTTAACGGGGTTCATTACCCATCACTTCCCCCTGCCGGATCCGGTGCACCGAACTTCTCCACGACTGTCTGATTCAGATCCTCCAACTTGTCAATCAGATCCTCGCGGAAGACGCGAAAACTGGGGCCTTTAGATAACTTTATAAGTTTTTATAAAAACTTTAGATAACTTAAATCTGGGGCCTTATAACAACTGGGTACGCAAAAAAAAACAACAATTCGACAACTAGGGGGGCTGTACCCTTATGTAGCTTGTAAAGATATCTTTAGATTTGGAGATGATCATCCAGCTGGAAATCCCAACCGCTGAAATGTGATACCCTCTGGGAATGAAACATGGCAATTGGAAATCCTCTATACATGAAGGCTTTGACGCGAAAAAGCATCAACGCATCAATGACCAGCTAGCCATGTTGGATGACACCGGAGGGTAACCATCAAATACCCTCTGGTAATGACTAACATAGCGAACTGGAAAGATCCACCATTTTTTATGGGAAAATCCACTATTTCTATCGTGATTTTCCATAGTTATGTTAGTTTACCAGAGGGTATAGGAACTTGATGGGAAATGATGGGATATCATCCAACCACTATGATAATTTGCCTCCACCAAAACCCTCGGCTGAACAATTGCGGTGTTCCGGCATTTCCAAAAAATCGAATGTCATAAGATTGAATATGGTCCCATTTTCAAACACACTCATCCCAGACTTGGTTGATATATCCGTATCGTACCATATGTTTGCCGTTATGATCCATTACATCCTAATAATATGGTTGACTAACAAAGTGAACATCTCAATGTTTATATAATGGTTAAAAGCCGGCTATCCTAGAAACTGGAATCATATTGCTTGTATACCCCGTGAGATCTCCCACAAAATATCCCGTAGATCGATCTGGTTTATCATGTTTTATTGTCCTCACATAGTTATGCAAACGTTTACCAGAGGGTAAACTGGCTGGTCAGCATCTCCATGGTATATTGACAACATGTAGACAATGTTTTTTGCGGTTGGTCACTCGATATGATCCCTACGTAAGAGAACTCCCCACAAAACTATTAGATCTACAAATATCAGCATCATATACTGGTTGGTGGTATACCTACCCCTCTGAAAAATGGGAGTTCGTCAGTTCGGATGATTATTCCCATATATTATGGAAAAATAAAAGCCGTGTTCCAAACCACCAACCAGTCATTGTACCATGTAGTAATATATCATGTCTATCTCATTGTATCTACCCTCTGGTAAATTAACAGTTGGACCCTGAAAATCACCAATTTTTAGAGGAAACTAATCTTCCAACCCCTATCTACCAGGGTCTATGTTAATTCACTGGAGAGTATATACAAATATATCATTGCATCTATATACAAATATGTCACTATAAGATCCTACGACATCCCGTTGGTCACTTGGTCACAAAAACTGGTCCCAGTCTATCCAAGTACATCCCGATAATATGGTTACCTTACATAGTCAGTGTTTATTGGGAGGTTAACTATTATGTAAGGTAACCAACCATAGAAAGGTAACCAACATAGTTGACTTAAGTAAACATATATGTTGATTATTAGTTACCTTACATAGTCAGTATGTATACATGTTTCTTGTTCAAGTCAAATCCCAATTCTTGTTGGATAAATCCTGTGTTTGTGAAAAAAACATCCCAAGTTTTACTACTGTATATAATCCATATTATTATCCATATTATATCTATCCATATTGTTGGCTACGTCTGCCATCATCTTCCACTATGTCCCCAATTTTGGCGTGTTTTATACCCCCAAAGTATCGGAATGCTAAACATTGTATCTCATGATATTTGTGGATTATACAAGGTGTTGCCTCCCAGTTATGTTAATTGGTATTTCAAAGCCACCATAAACCCTAGTGATACTAGTGAAGTAGAGCAACTTGGTTAAGAAACTGGAGCACCAATTAAGACTGGTTTAAACTCATTCAGTTCAGTAAATCTAGTTACCCTCTGGCTATTTAACATAGCGAACTGGAAAATCGCCATGTTTAATAGGTAAACCATCTATAAATGGGCCATTTTCCATGGCTATGTTAAATAACCAGAGGGTAGTATTTCCATGAAATCCCCCATGAAAACCGCCCACCTTCTGCCCCATCATCCCTGCAACTGCTTGGGTGGTCTTAACAGCGATCTGCACCTGAAACAGCAGTTCCCTGACCCCAAAATGGCGGGACTTCAGCGATGGGATTTATAGATATTTATAGGTGATCTAAAAATGTCTAAAATATTTCTTACGACAAAAAAGCTGTTTTCTTTCGCTCTGTGAACGAACGTTGTAATATGGTAGATATATCTACCATTTGGTTATTGAACATAACCATGGAAAATGGTTGATTTTCCCATTAAAACCTCCATTTATAAGGGATTTTCCATGGCTATGTTAGTCATAACCAGATGGTATAGTATTCTACAGTCAGATGGGACTATCAACGGATTTGGATCGGGCACCACGGGTTCATGCCAGCATGCCAGGAACCGGGGAGTCAACAGCTCCAATAAACGTTGCAAGAAATTGGGATTTCACATTGCCAATCAGCCAGATACCCTGCAAAAAATTATATAAATTCTTTGCTGGTTAGTAGATATTCCCATTAATACCAAAATGACTAGTTAGGATTAAAGTATCCATGTAAGATTGACCTAGTTCACCAGCCAAATGTGGTTTTTGTCACCCAAGAATTCATGGCAAAAGTGGATGAAGCGGGGAAAGAACTTGATCTAGACTAGATGAATCTAGATGGATCCAAAATTCAAAGGTTGGGTCTTACTGGCAAAACATGGTGGTTTCACCAAGAAAAGCGATGGTTCTCCATATCAGTTACATTCCCTATGATCTTCCCCCATAGTACCCCTGGAATAGGGGACTATCATCCGGGGTCCCTCACTATTATCATTAGCCCCGTAATGTCACCTGGCGTGCTGGAAATCACCCATTGATGGATAATTCTCTCCTATGTTCCCATGAAAAGCTTAAGGATGTTTCTGCCATCTGAAAAATTACCAGAGGATAATTATCACCAACATTCCTCACGATATTCACATTTTATTTGGGATATTTATAGATAGAAATCACTTTTAATCATAGATGGTGTATCCGTGTATCCCATCAAATCATTTATCCCCCCTTGCGAGAGCAACGTTGCAACGTTCAGCAAGCAAGAAATTGCTACTATCATCCTATGATCATCCCTTCAAGTCATATTTCACTAACCTGAATAGTAAGGCCATTTGGGGATGATTTCCCTTGTTAACCATGATTCCAGGGTTCGGGAGAACAGTGAGGTCGTGATGAAATTTACCCAGATTCTATGGTATATCCTGTGAAATCATCCCTCAATGGTGAGACTGCAAGCAGTTTCAGAAAATCTGGCAGTTTCTGAAAATCTCCTGGCAATACCAGAGTTTCGCCACTATCAAATATCACAAAATTCCGTATTATATCCCATTAATGTGGACCATATCATCCCATTATTCAACCATTTCGCAATATGGAACAAACCAGTGTATGTGCTTCTTTTTGCCTAGCTACCACATACATTTCGCCATATAGATCAGTTATTATCCTTTTTTGTACCCCAAACGAAACATTTTTACTACTACATACCATACATATTCAGCAATGATCATATCATTCTCCCAATATTCAACACACGTGATCCCATTTCGCCACATTTCGAGACGATGTTTTTTGTTGGCGATAAAGATACATATTTGGGACCATGGAATGGGTGTGTTTACTCTTAGGGCCTAGGGCTATTGAGAAGATTGGTGTTGCAATTTGCATATCAGGGATATAATGAGATATTTTCGGGAAATTCTAGTACGTAATTTAATTCATGGGATAGTGGGGATATACCATGTAGATCCATATAGTAGCCAAAAAAATCAAGGTTTCCAGCTTTTCGATTTTTTGGGTGGTTGGCTTTCAGGTGAGGCCCCCCATAAAAGTCCAAATGTTCACCGAGTCATGTGCGTCAACTTTGCGAGTTCGTCAACAGGGGACCTCACCATGTTTGTTTGTATGGGTTTATCTCCTATCGCTACAAATCCTCATTCATCTTCATGAATCCTCCATATAGCCATGCAGATTCTCATTACATCCCATTTTGTTTATAACCACACCCAGAGTTTTGCAACCAAACAGCCCCAGACCTGTTCCATGGCTGAGCTGTAGAAGGGCACATACCTTTCCAGCGTGGTGCTGATCAAGGTCTTGAACGCGGTCAAATTTTGACCTCAAAATCGCGCGAGTTTTCTGACCATGAAGGTACAACAATGGCTAAGAATGGAGGAATCATGGATTAATAAAGGTGAGACATTGACAGGAACTCATACCAACAGTTGGCAACATCCAGGTTCAACAAATGGCGAATACACCATGCTTTTCGGCCATCAAATCAGAAAGAAACTAGAGATAAAGTTGGAAAATACATAATGGGACAGGCAAATGGGGAAATAACCTGGGAAGAGTAGGGTTTTTAACCACGGGATTCTTAGGTTTCCGAACAAGCATAATCATAGTTTTTGGAGGTTACTATTTAGACTGGGATACTATATAGGAATATTACAATGGGGTCATAACATGTTATAACTGGTCCCGTCCCCTAATAAATACGTATCATATTTCATATTATACATCACATTACGTTACGGTAACTACATTTACCCTCCAGTAAATTAACATAGACCCTGCCAAATAGGGGTTGGAAGATTAGTTTCCATTAAAAAATGATGATTTTCAGGGTCTATGTTTATTTACCAGAGGGTAAATGTACGGACTTTTAAATATACTAAGAAACAGGTATACAAAAAAATACCTCCGGGAAGGTTCCCCTTGGCCCGCCCTCCACATATCTAAATGTCGTTAGCGTATATCTATAATATGATATTATATGTGCATCATATGATATAGATGTTATATTATATCATATTATATTATATTGTGTTACATATTGTATTATACATACCTACTATTTGTATCATATCATATCATATAATATCATATCATATCATATCACATTGTATTTTATCTTATTATAGTATAGTATATATGTGTTATTACATAATATTACGTTATATCATATTATATCATATTATATTATATTATATAGCATATATCATTATATATTATGTTATATTATGTATAGTCTATTTTAGATAATATTCTCTAGATTTTATTAAATTGTATCATATATATATATGTAATTCTATAATATGTATATATATAATATCAATCACCTTCATTCTATGGTCCGAAATATGTCCTTTCATCCCCAATAAAACACGTGGTTTAGGTTTCTGGCGGTGGGATTAAGAGAAACGAGTCGGCTTAGTTGGGCCCCAGGTTGAACCCACGATTTTTACGGTTGGCTTTGTGATGATATACCTATAGCTAGATGGGCTTCAAAACTAACTTTAACTTGAAATAACATGTTATATACTAACCCAAAAAAAATAGAAGTGGGTACACGGTACAATCCTACTAAAATAGTGATCAATGACTTTTCTATCTTCTGGGGGTCAATTTTTCGCTATCGTTGGGGTAACATTAACCAACTGAAAAAATAGGGTGGCCCACCAGGGGGCCACATTTCGCAAGTTGTGGTGATCTTCACAACAAAAATCTAACTCACAATCATCAGGGAATCAACCAACTGTCTTACCTGGAGTTGTCTCAGAATCTGACTTTGGACCTTTCCAGATGTGCCAAGTGGCTCACGGTGGTGGTTGCATTCAAGGCCTGATTGAACTTGCTGAGAGAAGCGTTGAAGCGACCCTCAGCCTGCATCACCTGCCGGTGCTGCGCAGGGAGAGCTAGGTTGCCTTTTAAGGGGAAGATATGATGTAACGAGTATTCACGGGTGAATCTAAACCAAGAAATTAGGGTTAATATGTGTTATTTTTAATTAGTCATATAAACCTTAACTATGGCAACTATGGTTTATAACTGGTGAGCTATGGTTTTTGATAGATATGTCCATACTATACCATAATGGGGTTTATAAACCAACATATCGGGGGGGCCTCATCTTGTATTACCGCACACTGGAAATGGGTGCTTCTACAATGGCGGTCAAAAGCTGGATTCGGAACCAGACTCGTGAACACGACCGCAGACCATGGTTGCTTGAGAAAGCCCCAAAAATGAAGTACCCTCTGGTAAACTAACATAACTATGGAAATCACCATTCTTAGTGGGTAAATCAACTATGAGTGGAAACCTCATTCTTTGGGCGCTTCTTCTGGTCACTGCTATCGGAATCTTCCTGAACAGGGGAGTTTGATGGAAACATGTCAGAAGAAGTCCTTATTCCTGTCTACTCTTAGATACCCTGCTCGAAAAAAACAATTCTTACCCGGGCAAATGTCTACGCCCACGGTAATCACAGTAGTTCGTGGCTTTACCTAGGTACGGGAATCGTAGTTTTCCAGGTTCCAGGACATCAAATGTGTTCGTTACAAAAAATGTCCCACCGATGGTGGTCTTCCTCTCATCACAGTAAATGGTGGCTATGAAGCACAGGAGAAAGAATCTTAGCTGATGGCCCAGTTCTCCATAAATCCGAATGCCAATCTGGTCGGTCTGGTGCTTTCATGAAAAAGATAGGGTTGAAAAACCAGCAATCCATTTTCACCCTGGTTTATCAGCTATATCCCCATATTTTCAGTGCTTAAAACCCCATAAATCCGCGCCATTGATGGTTAAATCGCATGAAATTCCTCTTGACATCCGGGTGGGTGGGAAACTCAATTTGTAGCTCCAACTGGCTCCCTATGCAAAATAGGAAAAATCGATCACCATAATTCACCAGAATTCGCTCCCTTCACCGCTACTGGATAGAACATCCCAGCTTCGAAATCTCAAAATCACAGAAATTCCCAAGTTCCAGTCCCAGCAGTGACATCCCACCTGACTGTCCAAGTCAGTGATGGCATTGCCGATCTGCGAGGTCACTTTGCCAATGCCTCCACTCATGGCATCTGCACCTGCTGCAGCACCTGCCTCCAGAATCTTCGACCAATCTGGGAACTTGTCCTTGGCACAAGTAGACCAGCTCTGGAGGATCATCCAAGACCTGGTGGTAAAATTTACCCTCTGGTAAACAGACAAAAAGCTATTGAAAATTGCCATTTATAGTGGATTTACATCGATTTACCCATTGAAAATAATGATGTTCCATAGCTATGCAGCTATGTTAAATTACCAGAGGGTACAGTTTGCGAACTGGAAAATCACCATCTTGAAGTTCGGTAAATCAACGAACTAAATTAGGGCCATGGCTTCAAGTCCGCAAAGTGTTGAATTGCCAGAGGGTAAGCCCAGTGAGTAAGAACCCTAGTGGGCTCCCAGAAAAATGGAGGTTTCCTAAGTCTGCGATGGGACGTAGCCCCAGTTCTCATCCAGTCGTCATGGACCATGACTTAGTGACTTGAAACCCGTGGTGACTTGGGGATCCTACATTTTAAGAAACCCCCATATATCATCTGGTTGGTGGTTTCAACTCCTCTGAAAAATATTAGTCAGTTGGGATGACTATCCCATATATTATGGAAAATAAAAGCCATGTTTGAAACCACCAACCAGTGATTGTGTTATAACTATGATTATTAATCACTTACGAGCCGTGGGATAATCCAAGTGGAGTGTCTCCACTTATATATGATGATTATGATGGGAATATGAATCATGAGGATATGAATCATAGGCAAAAAGGGCGGCAATCTCTTGGGGATTCCTTTTGGGGTTCATTAGGATCTAGTTTCGAGGAAAATCATTTGTAAATTGGGATACAACGGGATGTTTTTGTACGGGGATATATGTCGCTTTAACAATATGATGAGTGATATTTTGCAGGATCAATGAATCTCAACTTGATGTATTTTGAATGATATTTGGATGGTGTAGTTTACCCCAAATTTGGGCTATCAAATAGGAGGGAAAAGACCAGTGGATGGAATGGGGTACCCAATTTTTTGGACAAGCTGAACCAAGAATCTGTCCATCATCTAGAGCCTCACAGAGTATCGAATTTTGAACTATACTGTACCCGTTAAGTTTGGATTCTCAGTCGGGATGCATGACCAAAAACTATACCCCAGGCACATATGGGAATTTCTGAAACTTCGGAAGTGCAAGAAACTGCAAGAATCACCTAAAACGCTCTAGAAACGTGGGTTTCCAAGAAACATCCACATTGAAAACTGTGGATCATCCAACAATACTTGGGGCTTGGGGCAGGTGGGCTTATTAATGGCTATAACTATGTACTAACCCTAACCCAAGGGATTTCAAACCCCAATAACTCTGGTTTTTCATAACATTACATAACCAGTTCACCGGAGCTGCACCAACTGGGACATATGAGACTATCAGAGCCCATTCATCGTGTTAACCTATGCGAACATTTGCACACAGTACATGTAATATAGTGTTTACGTTTTATGTATATATATATATATGTGCATATATAATTATACAATATTCTACAGCATTTATAAAGTAATTAATATATACTATGATGACTCTATATATTTCTTGTATGTCATGACTCTATGTCCAACATAGGTCGTTCTCAATGACTTGACCCATGCCCAACTACCCTGCAGTGTCAAACATGGCCGGCTGGAAAAAAAACGATCAAAACTGAAGGTTTATTGAAGCTGGGAACATCATCGAACTAATTTTGTGATTTTACAGCAAGCCACGTTTGATGACCAGATATTCACATATTCACATTGACTGGTCGGTGAAAACTCAACGAGTTTAACACATCGAATGGGAGGGCAAATGTTTGCAAACTCCTATGGAACTGCCCAGTCGCATGCACTTGAAGAAGCTGAAGTTCATCATTCTCACAATCCTCTGCCGCAGCCAGGAGAGCGGCGGTGACACAGAACGACAGAAAGCGGTTCATGGCGATTTCACAGCGCGGATCTGCTACGATGGAAGACTTCAGTTTTGTGGGGCTTGAGCCGAAAAAATCCGAGTAAAATGGAACAGTCGAAACGACTTGGGCACTGGAATCGAAGAGCTGGAAGGTAGCTAGTCATTTCCAATACGAAAATCAAATTCCAACGACATCTTTCCCCTCTGTGGTAGTTTTGATGGGAAACTAAAAAATCACTATCATCAGCAATTCACGCAATTTTTCAGCACCTGCACCCTTATTTTCGAGGTGGGATGCGGAAACCGCAGTTTCAACCAGTTGGTTTCCCTACAAGATGATCTATATCTGGCTTGGATTCCAAAAGAAAGCATCGTATGTATAGTAACCCCCCACAAAGCTAGAAGAGTAAAATCCAACATAGTCATAAATTATCATAAATTGCTGTTCTATCCTTTTTTGGGGGTTGCTAAATACAGTTGTAGAGATCTCTTTAAACCCAAGCCCACCTGAATCATGTGCGTTTCGAACATAGGGTCGCCCAAACTCACATGCTGGACGTCATTGAGGGACGTCCATCATTCTTCGACAAACACCATGAATCTCCCCCGAAAAAAACCTAGGTTCTGTCCACATTTTCCCCATCATATACCTGATATACCTGCTCATATGCCCCAGATGATCACCCTTGTTGTTGGTGAAATTCCAATATGTGTTTGGTTACCATCCCCATTTTGCTGGCTTCAATGTCCCGACAGGGTGCAACCCTAGACTACTTTCCAAGCTACAAGATGAGGCTCCATAACTATAGTTGATTTATAAATCCCATGATAGAAGTGATATTCCCCATAAACCCCGTTTACGTTAACCAAGCTTTAAGCAAGATTCTAAGCGGCGCCTGCGAAATCGGCGCCTGCGAAATCGGCGCTGAAACGATGTCTTCCCGAAGCATGAAGGGCACCTGTGAAATCGGAGCCGTGGAGCGCGTTTTGTTTGGTGGAGCCATGGGGTAGGGCCCCTGGTACCCGGATGGCCTAAGTCATAGCTGCCATAGCTGGGTCATATGGATATTCCCCCAGTCATGTCATGTCATATCATGTCATGTCATGTCATAGGTTGTTTTCAGCAATAAATATCTGGGATTCAGCGAATGTCATCATGGCCACCATCCCCAAGCCATCACCATTTTTATACATGGTATATAGTGTGATACACCTGGGTCATGATTCAGTCAGAACTGATGGCAACATACACATGGAGGTGTCCTAAAATTCGGATACGCCCAAATCATCCAAGAGTAGACCATTTTTGTATTGAAACCCATCGCTTGGGGCATCTCCGATTTTAAGACACCTCCCTGTATATGTATTCATATACACATTATATGTTCTCTGTGAACATTGTGAAATGGTAACTGATTCAATCATTCAGCGGAAATTCACCACGACAAGTAGTTGTAAGAAAGGTCATCAGACATTCACACAACCATTCCATCCTGAAAAAAAACACATACGTCTGCTGATTCTACCATAGATTCACCATAAACATTCCCCAAATACTGCCCGAAGAACAGAACTATAGCAATTGTATATGTATAATGATCCCTTCCCCAGTTCATAATAAAAATAACCCAAACGAAATCCGTTTCTCTATTGGATCTATGCAGTATTTGGCCTTGGCCCCTTATCGAGTGCATAAAATATTAGAGAAATGGAACTATATAATTACCACATGTCAAAATAACATAAAATTACAACAAAATTCCAAAAGTTGGAGATAAATTTGGCAAATAATATAGTCATCCAAGAATAAGTCAACATCAATCAACAAAAAAAACTGCCACAGGAATTGGACCCGAATGCATGACAACAAATATGGTTTGTCCAATGAGAATTCTCCCAAAAATCAATAACTCCATTTGGAAAAAAAAAAAACTCCACATGTTTTAATCCCTATTTTTTGGAGGAAATCTCCACAAAAAATACCTCTATCCCCTATCCATAGCCCATCTCATGACTAGTTGGTTAAAAAACCATGTCCCATTCAAAAAATGGGTTAGTTCATATAATCTCCAAATAAGACTAGCTAGCATAAGTATGTATAACTCCTCACTTCATAACATTTCATATACCATCAGTTATCTTCCCATGACTTGACCTATCTTCCATGATACCCTCTGGTAAACAGACATAGCTATTGAAAATGGCCATTTATTTATAGTGAGTTTTCCCATTAAACATGGTGATTTTTCCATAGTTATGTAAACGTTTACCAGAGGGTAATCATCCATTAAATCCCATTAAACCACCATTTTCCTATGGTTTTCCTATAGTTTTCCCATGGAACCATGGTTTTCGTGGCCAAAATCCCCATGGCCGGCCGTTTCGTGGCCGCCATCAGTCCGAAATCCGCGGCACTTCGGAGGGAACATCCAAGTCATGGCAATTTTCGTCCAGGCTCGGCCTGGAAATCAGGCTTCTGATCATGGCTTAGAAAACCATAGGAAAACCATAGGAAAACCATAGGAAAATGGAGGTGTTAATGGGAAAACCATAGGAAAATACCATGGGAAAATGGAGTTTTACCCTCTGGTAAACGTTTACAGTTTGCGAACTGGAAAGATCCACCATCTTGAAGTTCGGTAAATCAACGAACTAAATAAGGGCAATTTTCAATAGCTATGTTAGTCATTATCAGAGGGTATGATGGTTGTTTACATCTATATATATAACGGTTTATAACTGCTTTTTATATCTATAAATATAATGGTTGATAATGGTGTTTACATCTGGTTCATAATGGTTTATAATGGTGTACATGTAATAGTCAATGTACATCATTGGAAAAACACATCTCTAGGTGGGAATATCACCAAAAAAATTGGCGAATCTAAATCTTGGGACAATTTTGGAATCTTACCGGGGATCATCAAGAAATTGAAGAATCTCAATGCGAATACTGTTGGGGAATAATGGGATCCATTGGCGTTATATTCTAAGTGTCTAAATTTATGGGATATGACTGCGAGACTTTTTGGACGGAATCTAGTGGGATATAAATGGGGATACAGTATCAATGGGAAAATGAGGATGTTTGCTTGGTGGGAAAGATTAGCGTCTCTACAGTGGGATATATATATATATCATATATCATTGGGTACAAGTTTGATCTACAAATGTAGAAGTACTGTATAATATACAATTTCTTCAAGGCTACTATGAATGGAGAATCGCCTCAAAAGAAGGGCATCTCAACGGCTTTTGGGGATGTTCTACCGGGATTTTACCACCAAAAAGGGGACATTTTGACGAAGAAACATTGGGATCATGGGCACAGCCCATGCTGATCCCTTTGGGACTCCAAGGAACTTTGGGATTCGGAGTCGGGGAGATTCATGGGGGCCCATCATTTACCCTCTGGTAATGACTAACATAGCTATTGAAAATGACCATTGAAATAGTGGATTTTCCCATTGAAAATGGTGATTTTCCATAGTTTTTTGTATGTTTACCAGAGGGTATGTCATGGGTCCCATAATTGGAAAGCAATCTAGAAACCTGGATCCAAATTGATTTATGACCATCTGGTTATGACTAACATAGCCATGGAAAATCACCAGTTTTAATAGGTAAACCCAGGTAAACCATCTATAAATGGGCAATTGTCCATGGCTATGTTAAATAACCAGAGGGTAGGGGTTATGAACAGGATATACAATTAACACGATATAACACGATGATATTCAAGGTTGTGTCTGAAAATGTGGTATAGAACCAGTCCAGTAGGTAAAGTCATAATGTATATATTATATGATATTATACTATATTATATTATATTATATTATATTATATCTTATATAGTGTATTATATAGTATAATCTATATTGTATTATATATTATATATTGTATTATATATATATATATAAATTATATTCTATTATATTCTATTATATTTTATTATATATTATATTATAATATATTATATTGTCTTATATTATATTATATTGTCTTATATTATATTATACTAAATTATAGTATATTATATTATATTATATTATATTTTATTATATAGTAGTGTATATATATAATTTGTAGCAGTGGATTTGGGGGTAGCCTATGTTCCGATAACAATTCTTAATGATCTTTCAGTGACGATGAAAATTGAGTATCAACAAGATTTTTTCATCTTTCCAGGGTTGAAGAAATGGATGGATGTCTCAAAATTTGGGCAGACAAGTCCAATGCTTGGGATCTTAACAAAAAAAATATGGGAAATTGACCAACCAAAATGGTGACTAACCACTAAAATATGAGGGATTCAACCATCAAAATGCTTGGAACGTGCTTGGATGTAGCATCAAAAAATGATGATTTTTCAGCATCCAAAACCCTGATGTGACCATCAACCCGTTTTTTTTCTATCCAGGGCATGCTGGAACCAGTTGGAACATACCGTTTCTGCATGGAAAAACACTGGAAAGTAAGGCTCCCCCCTGAGCTGCCAAGCACTGCGGGGGGATCCAAATCAAGTTTCAAGCTCTGCAAGACCTGCGGCAACGTTCACCGAAACCCACCATTTCTTCACGGGGAGTTTGTGCCACAGTGAAATTCATGGGATTGTTGACCAAGTTTTTGGATGTTTTGTGGGGTGAGATTCATTGGCAAAAAAAAATGGAGTGAAAACAATGATCCACCAATGGAAAATGTGGTTGCCCATTCGACACTGCCATTTCCTGGTTCCAGTCCGGCAATATCACAGGTTGGTGCCAGGACGGGTGACATGTTGTGATGTTTCAAACGCACACAAAAAAAAAAAAAACGACACAAGAAAATGTGGTTGAATCATGCTAAATCAACATCGAAAAGGGTAGGAACCCATCAGACCTCCAAGTTTTTTCTTGTCAAAAATGGATTCCATGTGTGTGTGTGGCACACACACACACCATGGTTTCAATGGTTGGTTTTCAAATCACCATATGTGAGACAGTGACCAAATACCATCTGCTAGTGAATCACCAGAAACTGGTCGATGTCAGGGTTTTTGCTGGTGAAATCGAATTTTTCACTGGTTGAATCATGTCGCATCACATTTTTTCGATGAGCAAAAGCCATGCAGCTGCCATAGCACTGTGGCCTCTGTGTTCTCCTCGATCTCTGCGCACTCCTCCAGCTGGACTTGGTTATTTGGGTGTGGAAATGGGGCATACCGCCATAGCGTAATATTGGACTAAGATGATAAATTCATGGCATAGTTATGGATAATATAGCGTGATACATATGCCGTAACTAGTTATGATAAATTTGGCATATGATATATGATATAACCTTATAATAATCATTACCAATAGCGTTATGATATATACCGGCATAGAATAAATCTTATTGGACTTGGGGTTACCATAATTCGAGATGCACCCACATCATATGATTACAAGAATTCATGTGGGCAAATTGCACATAATGAACCCACATAAATGGCTAAATTTGGCAAACATAAGGTCATTAGGTTCCATTTGCTAGTGTAATGATGTAATCATATGGCAAATGGAACCTAATGACCTTATGTTTGCCAAATTTGATCATGAGAACATTGTATAACGAGATTTGACCAACCAAAAACCGGGGTGAAGCAGGAAAAAGAACTAAATGTAATCTCTATATTTATACATATATATATACATATACATATATATATACATATACATATATATATATATATACATATACATATATATATATACATACATACATATATATATACATACATACATATATATACATATATACATATATATATACATATATATATACATATATATATACATATATATATACATACATATATATATATATATATTGATACATTATATATATATTGACACACATATATATATATATATTTTTCACCGCCTGCCCCCATTATCATTGATTATTTTGTTGGTGTGATGGTTGAAATAATGTGTGGTTTTGCATAGACTAGACCCATCTAGATGCGGTTTGCATTGTTCTTTTGCTGACCACTGCCAGACTTGAAACATACATACCCTAAGACAGCGCTGGATAGCGCCCTCTAAACCAAGTTTTTGCTTCGTGGGGTAGTTGAGTGTCTTATTCTTTAAAAGGGATTCAAATAGGAAAGGAATTGAGAAATGAATTGAAACACCAAAATTTAGGCCCTTGAGATCCAAATACTTTTTTTTAGACGGTGATATCATTCATTATTATTTTGATGTTAGGACTACTGTACCCCCTTTGCACGATTGTCTTTTGGTATTTCCCAATAAGGGTTTTTTAAAAGAAACCGATCAATTCAGATCTTTGGGGATTTTGAGATTTCACTGGGTGCTCTAAGGGAGACGGGTAGCAAAGTCATAAAAACGTGATTTAGGGTCTTGTGAAAGCAAAGGATATCAAATACTTTATTTGGGGGGACAAAACGGGGGAAAAAAAAACAAGAAAAAAACAATCGGGAATAAACATGGTGGAAAAAAAAGACAAATAAAAAAAGAACGAAAAAAAACATATCCCAAAAAAATATGTTGGCGTACTTTTATTCAGGGGGTGGGTTTATTCATCCCCGGGTTTGGAGATCTTTATTTAGCCGTGGTGTACTAATCGTATATGAACATTACTAACCTCTCGAAATACCAAGCCGCCTGGGGGTAGTTTAGAATCGGTTCCAATCAGTTGTAACCCTGAAATGAGTATATGATCACCCGTCAACCAACATAACAGTGATATAATATAGCAAGTCCCAAAACAAGTAAATTCAACTCTTGAGATAAGAATAATTCATATAGTAGTTCATATTAATTCATATTAATTCACAGTAATTCATACTAATTCATAGTAATTCATAGTAGTTCATAGGTAGTTCATATATACTTTTCCATCTGGGTGTTACGTTACTATAGCTATGACAGCTATCTTTGAATCGCTCCTGAGCTGCTGTGCTCGGAAGCGTCTGGCCGTCGCCTCGCAGCGACGGAAGCTCCGAGGCGGATGTGGGATTCATAGGATTTTCATGTTTTAATGGTGGAAAATCCTGGCATTTAATGGGATTTCATGGGATTTCATAGCAATTTTATGGCATTTCCAATGGTTCTAATGGGATTTAATATATGTGATGGATTTTAATGGGATCTTACTGGGATTTTGAAGAAGTTGGGGATTCTTCATCCCCGGTGGAACATCGATAGTCGTTTGGCAGAGCGCCAAATGGCGATTCGTCTGTCGAGCCGGGGATTCGGTCGGCTTTTGGTCACGGGGATGCTGTCAACAAAGGCGTCTGCTTTCCATGTCGGGACTTGTGCGCAGACTGGACACAATCTTGCCAGCTCCACAAAATCCACAGTTCTTGTGCGAAGCCTTGACATCCGCACCAAGGGCAATACCCGGGCTCTGCGTAGCCATCGCTGCACGAATGCGGACAAGGAATACACGGTCGGCTGAATGGTGATGCTGTAGGCGAGAACTTTCTCAGGCCGGCAGAATGGAAAAAATGACAGATCCCCAATTTGTTGGGCCACGTTCCCACGACTCAGAAAAATCCTCGGTTTCATCGTCGAGGGGGGACGGAGATGCAGTTCCTCTGGTGTGTTTTTCTCAGCTTCGAGCAAACTGAAGGATCAAATCTGACTCCTCGACATGGAGGATTCGGAAAGAAGGCAGACTTGGGCCTATTCCATAAATACTTCGGATATAGAAAGGGAAATCTGAAAAAATAGGATACGACCCTTCATACGTAGCTGATGCTTTTGAACTTGCTCCTACATCGATGGGCCTGATGTAGATGGTGGCATAGATTTACACCTGAGCACTGGAGGGCCACTACAAGGCTGGTGCCCCACTTTGTTGGCCAACTTGGTTTATATACTCTGTCCAAAAACTAGATCCCCACTTCACCACCATCAAATGGTCATAAGTCAAAATTATCAACCAGTTGGGGTTCATTTATCAACTATATTGACTATATACTATCTTCTCAGATGTTTCATGGTTTAAACCCCATTCAGAATGCTGACATTGATCATTGTACTAGGACTTTTGAAACTACTCAACTGGATTTTCGAACATTCCATGGGTTGCAATGATCCCTTTTGAACCAGAAATATAACTTACAACCACCAATCAACAATCACATATTGTCCCATGGTTAAAAAAAAAATGTCCCTATAAAAATATAACAATATAACAATCACTTACTTATATTGCCATATTTTCTCAGTCTCATGAAGTCCCTGAATCATTACTCAAATGTCCGATTTAACATCCCATGAAACTCCGATTTTTCACATCCCAATAAAATTCAATCCCCATTCCAATCCCATGAGAAATCATGTCAATCCCACCTGGTTGGTGGGTTTTACCATCTTCAAAAATATGAGTCAGTTGGGATTATGATTATCCCATATATTATGGAAAAATAAAATTCATGTTCCAAACCACCAACCAGATGACAATCCCATAAGGCAAAACACTCAGCTGGCGATTGTTCAACCTGCCCAACCGGCTGCCCTTCGCCTGCGCCCTCTCTGACATCACCCGCGTCGTCAACGTCCGCGACGTCCGGCCTTGGACGTTTTGCCGTCGGCCGTCTGGGGTGATTTTTGGGTGCAATGGTGGAAGCCAGGGGAAAATATGGAACAAACACTGGTTAGTGGTTTTAACCATCTTGAAAAATGATGGAGTTCGTATATATATATATATGCTGCACCTATATATGATTATATATCTGGTTGGTGGTTTCAGCCCCTCTGAAAAATATCAGTCAATGGGAAGGATGACATCCCATATCTAAAATGGAACATCAAAAATGTGTGAAACCACCAGAACAGAGGTTCATAGCTGGGAAAATCCTCTATAAATGGACGTACTTGGGGGTGCGGGAAACAACGTAAATGGAGGAGAAACCCTCAGTTAGATGAATGGAATATCCCCTATGATATATGGGATGAAGTAGGGGATATATATATGGATTATAAAGCACTGATCCGATTCGTGGGGCACGCACATCCAAGTAGGCCGCTAGGCCTTTTTTAACATGGGGGCAGTTGACGAAACTAGAGGTCAAATAACCAACAATATTCGGAAACACATGTCAGTGATGATGTGATACATGACATTTGGATGCGGAAAAAACTGGATCAGATACCCCTCCCAAGGAAGGGGGATTTGGCCGAAATGATCCCAAAGTTGACCATGTTACCATCATCATCATCATCATCATCATCATCATCATCATCCACTACAATTACTTAGATGATCACATATATATATACATATATACAGAAATGCAAATACAAATACATAACATATATATATATATGCTGCACCTATATATGATTATATATCTGGTTGGTGGTTTCAGCTCCTCTGAAAAATATTAGTCAATGGGAAGGATTATCCCATATATTATGGAAAATAAAAAATGTTTGAAACCACCAACCAGATATATATGAATATATATATATACACTTTTGTGAATATTATTATATATATCCATAGAGTGAGTTTCGTTGGAAAATCTGCACGGTCACGGTCATCCAGGCTTTCCAGCGCGGCGAGTCTGTCGCATGGAGAAACCACCTCGTGCGTAGGGAAAACGCCGTTGAGCAGGGGATTTTAAGAAAGAAAATGTGCAAAAAAAAACTGAATAGCTTAGCTTGAACCCCGCAATGAATTTAAGATAGACAAATAAACTTACAAATAGTCAATTGCTCCTCTTTTTGGGGAGGGTACCCAAAAAAAAAACTACAAGTCCAAACAACTACCGTCTGGCAAAAACGTTAATTGGATATTGAACTCCATGATTGTTTTACTGAAAATGATCTACAAAAATCGTGAGCTGTCCAATGTTGTCCATATCTATATGAATTTACGACATGTTTCTGATTGACAACGGGGTCTCAGGTCTGGTCAAAGTACCCAAACAGTTCATCCCCGTCCGAAGCACCAGTGCCGCGCCAGTGCCCCCAGTTTTTTCGTGCCAGGTGAAGTTTGAGATCCAGCGAATCCAAAAAAAAGTCATGTCCGGTTGCGTCAGCTAAGTTGAATAACTCATGTGACTATAGGGTCTATGGCAAATATATCTATATGTGTATATATATATATACCGTTGTCTACAGTTCAGTTTAAGGGCTTCTGGAATTCGCACCACTCGAAAATCATTCAGCTTTGCTGGCCTCGTCATGGTCGGGTTATCGAAAGCACCAGAAGTGGATCGGATCTTGTGGTGAAACTCGTCCGCATCCGCACAGTACTAGTCCGCATGTGTAGATTGTCAATTCCCTTATTGATCCATTATCTTCCATATCTCTTTTTCGCAGGCACGAAAAAAAAGTAATTTATTTTGACACTCCACCGTGCTACGCCATAGAAATACCCATATGTTCCACAACATTCAATCTTTGGTCCAATACAAGGCGAGGCCCCCACTTATAAGTTGGTTTATAACCCCATGAACTACAGTTGTATTCCCCACAAACCCAACAGTTAAACCAACAGCTCACCAATTCACCAAGTGAACTGTGCGTCAACTTAGCTATCATAAATCAGCTATAGATAGATAGATAGATCGATAGATCGATAGATCGATAGATCGATAGATCGATAGATCGATAGATAGATAGATAGGTAGGTAGATAGATAGACAGACAGATAGATAGATAGATAGATAGATAGTACAGATAGAATAGAATAGAATAGATAGCATAGATAAATGGATAGAAAGAACAGATAGAATAGATAGCATAGATAGATTAGATAGATAGGATTAGATAGGATTAGATAGGATTGGATACGATTAGATAGGATTAGATAGGATTCGATAGGATTAGATAGGATTAGATAGGATTAGATAGGATTAGATAGGAGAAGATAGGAGAAGATAGGATAAGAGAAAAAAAGGATTAGATAGGATAAGATAGGATAAGATAGGATAAGATATATAAGATAAGATAGATAGAGATGGATAGAGATAGATAGAGATAGATAGAGATAAAGAGAGAGATAGAGACGGATAGAGATAGATAGAGATGGATAGAGATAGATAGATAGATAGATAGATAGATAGATAGATCGATAGATAGATAGATAGATAGAGATAGAGATAGAGATAGAGATAGAGATAGAGATAGATAGATAGATAGATAGATAGATAGATAGATAGATAGAGAGAGAGAGATAGATAAATAGATAGATAGATAGGTAGATAGATAGATAGAGATAGATAGAGATAGATAGAGATAGATAGAGATAGATCCAGGTAGATAGAGATAGATAGAGATCGATAGAGATAGATAGAGAGATAGAGAGAGAGAGATAGAGATAGATAGATAGATAGATAGCTAGATAGATAGATAGAAAGATAGATAGATAGATAGATAGATAGATAGACAGATAGCTAGATAGATAGATAGAAAAATAGATAGATAGATAGAAAGATAGATAGATAGATAGAAAGAGATAGATAGAGATAGATAGATAGAGATAGATAGAGATAGATAGAGATGGATAGAGAAGGATAGAGATGGATAGAGAAGGATAGAGATGGATAGAGATGGATAGAGAGAGATAGAGATGGATAGAGAGAGAGAGAGATAGAGAGAGATAGAGATAGATAGAGCCGGATAGAGATGGATAGAGATAGATAGAGATAGACAGAGAAGCATAGAGATAGATAGAAAAAGATAGAGAGAGAGATAGATAGATAGATAGATAGATAGATAGATAGATAGAGAGATAGGTAGAGAGAGGTAGAGAGAGATAGAGAGAGATAGAGAGAGATAGAGAGAGATAGAGAGAGATAGAGAGCGATAGAGAGCGATAGAGAGCGATAGAGAGAGATAGAGGGAGATAGAGAGAGATAGAGAGAGATAGAGAGAGATAGAGAGAGATAGAGAGAGATAGAGAGAGATAGAGAGAGATAGAGAGAGAGAGAGATAGAGATAGATAGAGATAGATAGAGAGAGATAGAGAGAGATAGAGGTAGATAGAGATAGATAGAGAGAGATAGAGAGAGATAGAGGTAGATAGAGATAGATAGAGAGAGATAGAGAGAGAGAGATAGAGATAGATAGAGATAGATAGAGAGAGATAGAGAGAGATAGAGGTAGATAGAGATAGATAGAGATAGATAGATACCATGGAAAATCACCATGTTTTCAGGGTGGAATCACCATTTTCCCATGTGTTTTTCTAGGCTTTCCCAGCTACTCCCCTGCCTGCGGCACTTGAGGCAGCGGCAGTTGAGGCAGCTGCGGCAGGTGGCTTTCCTCCATACCAAGCAAAATGCTGCCGGGCACCTTGGGGCTATAAATCTACCGTGAGCTCACCTCCATGAGGGATCTTTAAACGATTATTTTTTGTCCTACAACTATGGTTTCTATGGTTACAATAGTGGTTACTATGGTAACTATGGTAACTATGGTGAAAAAGTTCACCTCCATCCGGTTACTATAGTAATTCCTTCTTCATCATTCTATCCACTTCTGTGGAACTGCACCAGAATGGCAGATCATGCTGGGATCATCCTGGTGGGAAACCCAGGATCTTAAGCCTTGACCCAAGTCTGAGCTGGTTTCGGTTGCAGCAAGGCGCGTGCGATGCGCATTGACGTGGTGCGTTTTTAAATAACTGGAACCCCATTGAACAACAAGACCATCATAAACGCAAAAAAAATCCGATCACATGAATGTTGTTGTGATTTTTTTGCAGCTAGAGATGCGATGATACTTCTGGAGAAGCCATGTTTGAAAAAGATAGACTGGGGATGCAGCCCAAGCAGCAATCAGACGATAACCACGGTTACACCAACTGGTGTTGAAAAATAAACCGATGTGGCTTTGTCCCTTAGAAATGAAGGAGGGTACCTCCTAAGAATCCACTGGCTTATCATCGTTTTCCCCATGAAAATTGTTACTTCGGGTTGACCCAGTATTCGATATATCATGAATGAATATATATATATATATTATGTATATATATATATATATTATGTATATATATATATATTATGTATATGTGTATATATGTATATACCTCGATCGCGGACACATCACTAGTGGTGTTTTTCTCCGCAGGCTCCCCAAATCTGCCACTTTGCAGCCCAAAAAAATCATCTTGGCCCTTGGCAAATCCACATCCTGGAATCCATTGGGGAAGTTTGCAAGGCCATGTTTTGAATGCCATGCTTCGGTGAAGGGACCCAGTGGGGAGGAAACTCTCCATTTTGAAGCCTGTGGCTTAGTTTGGATGGAGATCCCAAATGTTGTCTCTATAGTCATCCTGGAGAAAATAGAATATGGACATATGGAAAATTATTGAAACATAGTATCAGTTTTTTTTTGAGGGTTTTTCGAAATGTCCACATTCTATCTACTCCAGGACGACTTGGGACCCAGGGTTTCTGACATCCACATGGCCAACGAATGTCCACCATCAGATCCACCCCAAAAACAACAGCCTTTTCCTGATAGGCCCGGCCAATCCCTCCTGTGGGCGGTGAATCACAAGTCTCTTCCTCTCGTTCCTTATATCAACTTCCCATCATTGCAGTCACAAGAACCCAATGGCTGAAGCAACACAGCTGGCTGATGGCTGTTTTTTTTACTTCAGGATACTTCATGATCTCAACAGCATTGGTTTTCAATGGCTCTTGCGACCAGGGAAGTTTCGCCGCCCGCAGAGGATATCCGTGGCAAGGACCCAAACCACGACCCAACCACAATCTGAACAGAAAAAAATTGGTCTCATCTGCATCTAGATTTTCGTGCACGCGGCAGCGGCTGAGCAGAATCTCTTGTTCCTTCCTGATATTTTTTTCGTGCGCCCTAGTCTAGTTCTGGGCTCACGCGACGAAAACACAAACTTCCCGCTCACTTCCTGTAGTATGCACCTCCTGCTGGTCGAGTTTTCTGAACATGGGCTGCATCATTGAAAAGGCTTGGACCCAAACAGGTGCAGAACTCTTCAAGTACAGAAAAGTGCCCAGATAGAAAACATGTTCCCTCGTGCTTAAACATCATGTTTTACTGCGCCTTTTTTTTGCGTGAAATCCAAAAAAAAACAGAAGCAAACGTCTGGTGCCACTTGGTGGGTGTGAAGCTGCTAAGCGAACCAGGGGGAACAGCTTGGCAAACCGATCTCCAAAGGTGCACCCGAACCAAGCGGGTGCAAAAACCATCATGGGGATGATCTTCTCAGATGTACATATCGTTGACCAAAAAAAGTAGCAACGCAGGGATGACCCAAATTGGGGGAAAAGATCCCCGCAATCTACTGCAAGCATCATTCCGGAAATCCGACATCCGACGTGAGGTCATGAACAAATTCATCCAGCTACAAAAAATACTTGGTTATTGTCCCATATCATATAAAATCATATATATATATTATAGATATAACTCAATATGATCATATCTTATTTACCACTTTGGCCCCGATTTTCGCTGTATCATCCCTCAGGGTTGCGGCGAAAACCAACCATCGAAACACCCCTGTTTTGTGATCATGAAATATCATACAATATCAATCATCTCAAACTTCTCAAAATTCTCAAAAACACAAGAATTACGAAAAATCTTCTATAATTATTATTAATGACTACTAATTGTTATTTGTCTGGTTATTAATGGTCATTAAGCTTCGGGTTTTCCATGGTCGCTGCCTCCACGTGCGCCACCATTGCCATAGGTGCCATAGGAAGTTCGGGGCTGCTTCGCCTTGGTCAAAGAACGAAGCCCAAAATCTGGGAGTTCTGTGGGTCAAAAAGGATTGAGTTGGGGGAAATGTTGGGTTAACATGGAGAAAAATAGAAATATGATGAATGGATATTAATGATGATATATGGTTTATATACTTTGAAATATGGTTTATGAAGGGTGGATGAATATGGTGAATGTTGGATGAATTGGTGGTTTTCAATGGATTGATTCGAGAGGAAAAGTGGCAGCAAAGCGTGGTGAACTGGGGTCTTCCATGGCTGGAGATTTTCCATTATGGGAGTGGATCATTCTGGATTTATTCGGAGTTTTGATTGTCGAGTTTGCAATCTAGCATTTGAAATGGATTGATCTTTGTTTTGCTGATTCAGACAAATTCATGGCGGTCATCATTCCTAGCTGATACTAATGACTGGGATTCTACGAAAATTCAGCCGTGTCGAACCCAGAAAAGATCAAGACTATGGACACGGATCGCCGGAATTCGGAAAACTTGAAAAAAAAAGACAATCAGGAAGGTCCCTGTGAAAGGTTGTGCTGATTCAAAGATTGTTCAACTTGTACAGCATGTGTCCCAATGCCGACTTCTCGGGGGCTACACCGGCCTCAAAATCAACATTCCTGTGACCAGACTGCACCAGATCTACCCTCAGGTAAACTAACATAACTATGGAAAATCACCATTTTTAATAGGTAAATCCACTGTAAATGGTCATTTTCAATAGCAAACTGTTAGTCATTACCAGGCCGGGTACGTCATTTTCCCCTGGGGGGACCCGGTGGACCTGGTGGACCTGTGCTGAGAGCAGTTCACTGAGAGCCCCAGCTGCCGGATAGTTCCCGGAAGATGGAGCATATGCCCTCTTTTGGGACGAATAGTTGCCTGCATCCCATGATAGGTACAGAAAAACAACAGACGGCACAAAAACATGTCTATGTAGATACTATTGAATATAACATACATATGCTTACTCAATCTTACTCACATACATATATCCGTACATCTTTGCAGGTATACGTACAAATATATATATATATGTACATATGTATATATATGTATATGTACTGTATTATATGCCCATACATATGGTCGAGAATTACATGTGCATAACGGTTCCCATTGGTGAAGTCTCTGTGGCTCAGTGTCATCGTATATCACTGGTGGGTGGTTGCTGCTAACCCCTCTTGAAAAATGGTGGAGTTCGTCACTTGGGATGATGACATTCCCGAAAAAACGATGGAAAGTCATAAAATGCCATGGTTCCAAACCACCAACCAGGTACATTAGTGTGCCCCAAGTCGCTACTTCTATGCATTTATGGCTAGATTCTGATCAGAATTTGAAGCTCACAAGGAAAACACCATCCACAACACTGACCCAACTCAGTGTTACCCACGTTGTGGATGGCCCCCTTTGCAAATATTTACTTGTTATCATGGTCAGGTTGGAACTGGCACCACCTTGAGGGTTGTCCATGTGACCAGCAAAGCTGTGGGATGAAAAGGACAGTGGAGAGGAAGAAAAAATGCTCCCAAGCGGCAAGAGAAGGCAATCACTACAGGCTGTTGCTATCTTTGATCTCCCATGGGCAAAAATTTGGATGTTCCAGCCAGGTTAGATTACCAAATGGCATGAATCACTGTGCTTGCCGGTGAAATCCCGATTTTTGGTTGGGGAAACATGGCCAATCTTGGATATCTTGCAATTATTGTTCCTTCGCTGCTTAGTTTGTATGTCCTTCATGGCAAAAGATTAAATTGTATCATATATATTGCCCAACTAGCGGGTTTTCCCGGAAACCAGAGGTGCTCCCTGGCCACCCCAGATACGTTTGGAGGGGTACATGGGTTAAATAAACTAGGGGGCGCAAAAAGCAGTTCCAGTCAACTAAGTGGTCTTTTAACCATAGTTATGGGGGGGTCCATACCATATCCCAAGTTATATTCCCATGGTTGTGCCCTCTGGTAAGCTATCGTAGCTATGGAACATGGCTCATTTCTAGTTGATTATCATCAAAATGGTGATTTTCAATGGCTATGTAAAAACTACGAGAGGGTATCATCAATTGCTGGTTATATCTGACTATATCCCATAAAATCCTATAAATTCCCTCTAGACTCCCACGAAATCCCCATGGAACCCAAACGGCAGCACCTCCGCCATAGCCGCCGCCGCCGCCGCTGTTCCCGCTGTTGTAGCTGCCACCGCCATAGCCACCGTAACCGGTGCGGCCAGTGCTGGGTGCGGTGGAACCTCGAGGGAAAAGTGACACCTGGAACGTTAATGGGGAGTTCATGGGGATTTAATGGAATTTCATATGGATTTCATGGGATTTCATGGGGAGTTTATGGGGATTTGGTGGGTTGGTTGCCCTCTGGGAATTTAATATAGCGAACTGGACAATCGCCATTTTCAATAGGTAAATCATCTAGAAAAGGATCATACTCAATAGCTATCTTAAATTGCCAAAGGCTAATACGGATTAATACTAAGATAACAGGATATAATGATATATATATATATTGGATTATTGTTGAATGTAAATCCCTGAGTTGGCTTTGTTCGGAAAATCGTGTCGCTTACGCGATAGCGCCAACCAGCCAAATCCCTCAATTCCAGGATATCCCCAATCAGAAAAATATGGGCCAAATACGGATGAACGTGGACTATTGCATATACCGTGGACTATTTGTTCAAACCTACAATCAGGGAAAAAAAGAAAAAATAATAATGTATAACAACTGGTTGGTGGTATACCTACCCCTCTGAAAAATATGAGTCGGTTGGGATTTGGGATGATGAAATTCCCAATATGTAGAAAAATAAAATTCATGTTCCAAACCACCAACCCAATAATGTATACTTGTTTCATCCATAAAGAAGTTCCTTGGTTTCCCCATCCTTTGTGGTTTTTTTTGTGCTCAGCCGGGGTCACTGGAGTCACGTCCCATTTTGAATGACAACAACTAGGGATATGAAGCAATACAAAATTACTGTATATTAATTATATGTTTGGTTTAAGTTGCCATATACTACAAGTAGGCCAAAAAAAGAAGCACTCCGAATTTTGGTTTAAGTGTTCGGCCATTCATAAAAAAATCCGCGCTTACCATTCAAAATTGGAGATAAACCTTGGGCAACATGGCCTCCAACCACCAACAGTTACCTTTTCAGACCTCCAAGACTTTTCTTGAGAGATTCGTATCAAGCCCAACCCTACCATCAAGAAAACCTGACTAATAGTTGTGTCACAGTTTTTCATGAATGTGATATTTGGATACATTTGGGGGGTCAGTAAAATTGGGGTATAAAAATTGGCCAAAACTTGGCTTTTCACAGAAAATTGGGGTATACCGGGTCCAGTCGTTGCAGCGTTGCACCTCCTTTGTTTCCTCCCTTGGGGTTTCCTTTGGCTTCCTGCACGAGACGGTTCCCGAAGATCTTCTGGACATGGGCTGTCATCAATATCCAAAAGATCTAACACGTGAACTAGAGCCTAGAGCAGGTGTTTTTTTAAGCTGTCGACAAAAAAATGGACAAAAAAAAATCAAGTCGTCCTTCGCAAAAAACACAGGTTGTGGATCAAAATCAAAGATCATCCCAAGAAAGACTGTTGATGCACCGATAAATTTCCCCCCTGACCAACTATGACCAGAGAAGCTATGACCCAAGTCACCCTATCATCCCACTGAAAGAGCAAAGAAATAGCAAAGAAATATGAAACTTGATTGCCCCATAAAAACAAAACAACCAGCTTGTTGTACTGTTTACTCAAAAAGTCCCAAAAAACGATCCTCTGCAGGATTATTCTTCCACTATGCATCTGACTGGATCATGGAACTCAACAGAACCAATACACTTGAGGTTCCATATACAATAGTGTCTACATATATAATTATATATATATTATACATATGAACACTAAGGATACATATAAAATATGTACATGTTAAATGTGTTGATGTATCATATATATA